ACCCTTCTTAATACTCCCTCTCAAGTTGGTGGTTTATACAAGTCATAAACCCCGAACTTAGAAAGTAAAAAATGATGTTGTTTGTCTGTTGAGTCCTTTAGTAAAAATGTTAGCTAGTTGCTCCCATGTTCTAACAAAAACAAGTGCAAATCAAACTCGCTTGAAGCTTTTCTCGAACAAGATGACAATTGATTTCTATATGTTCGTTCGCTCATGATAAACCGGATTAGAGGCTATATGTAAGGCCGCCTTGTTGTCACAAGTGTAGGTCGGTAGGCTTCAAGTGAGGGACTTACAATTCTTATAGCAACCGCAACTACCAAACAACCTCACAAGTAGTCGAAGCCATGTCCCTATATTTGGCTTTAGCAGAGGACCTAGAGATTGTGTGCTTGTTTCTTTATCTTTCGGGAGATGAGAGAGTCACCAAGAAACACACAAAAGCTCGTTAAAGACTTCCTTGTCATGGGATAAAATGCCCAATCAGAATAATAAAACACCTTGAGGTGTAAATCACTAGTAGAAGACATCGGTATACCAAGGCTTGGATAACCTTTGAGATTTTTCGAACTCTAATGGCTGAATGCATATGAGATTGCTTTGGTTGATGCATGAATTGATTAAGGATATGCACCGAGTAGCATATATCGGGCCTAGTTACTTGTCAAATAGAGTAGTTTGCCTACTAGTAATTGGTATTCGATAGGGTCGACAAGTAGAAGGTCCGTATCGACTGACGCAAACGAAGAAGCTTGATCAAAGCCAATAGTAGTAAGCTTCAAATTAGGCTCTAATGGCATCTCCACTAGTTTTGAAGCTAGTAAACCCGCATCATGAAGTAACTCCACTATGTACTTTCTTTGATTCAAGTATATGCCTTCTTTGGAGAGAGCTAACTCAATGCCCAAGAAATATTTCAAGTCGCCCAAATCCATGATATAAAAATTCTAATGCAAGAAACTCTTGATTTGCTTGAATACCCCCAACATCATTGCTCGTGATCAATATATCATCTACATAAACTAATAAGATAACAATCGACCAGCGATCACCTTAGTAAACATGGAATAATCATTCTTCGACCGAGACTAACCTACAAAAATCATGGTAGTAGTGAACTTAGAGTTCCATTGCTCGGAGGCCTCGCTTTAAACCGTAAAGAGACTTGAGTAACTTGTAAACCGAGCCCTTCCCTTAAGTTTGAAGGCCAAGAGGTAAGGTCATATAAACTTTTTCATGACGATCCCCTTACAAAAATGCATTAGTAATATCCATTTAATAGAGAGGCCAATTTTGAATGGCGACCAATGCAATAATGGTTCTAACGAGTCACCATTTTAACAACAGGGGAAAAGGTTTCATTATAATCAATGCCTTCTTGCTTGTGTATATCCTTTAGCTATCAATCTTGCTTTATATCTTTCAACACCGCCATCCGGTTTAAACTTCACTTTATAAACCTATTTATAACCTATGGGTTTTTTTCCTAATGGTAAAGGAACTAAGTCCCATGTTCCGTTCAATTTAAGAGCTTGGAGCTCCGTAGTCATAGCATCTATCCATTTAGAATTCTTAATGGCTTCATAATAAGTACTAATAGAAGACGAGAGATGTAAGAAAGGCAGAGTATTCGGGGGAAAAAAATGAAAAGATAGGAAACGATCGATTGGATATGAGATAGGATGAAGAGTGGCAACGAGCATGAGATCGAGGTAATGTTGGACAAGAAAAATCCTTAGTCCATACAGAGTTGTTTGGAAATTCTATGAGATCTACGAAGAAGAATGGCATCGGATAAATATGGAGATGAGACAACATGAGTGTTGGAAACAGCAGAATTATGTGGAGAACTAGAAGTGGAAGGAGAAGATACGGGACAAGATGATTGATCATCATCATAAGTCCACTAGGAGATAGAAGAATTAGAAATTGGAGATAAGGAACCGGAATCGATATCGGTGGAAATGAAAGAAGGATGAAAAGGGAATATAGACTCATGAAACAAAATATCATGAGATACAAATACCTTCGAGTATCTAGATCCAAAACTCTATAACCCTTTTGTAGGTATGGATACCCTAAAAAAACACAAGGTTTGGATCTAGGAGAAAACTTGTCGAGACAAGGTAAAACTTTAGCATAACAAAGACACCCAAACACTTTAAGATGATGAAGAGTGGGAAGGTTATTGAATAATATCTCAAATGGTGTTTTGCCATTGAGTAATGGAGTAGGAGTCCTATTAATGAGGTATATGGAAGTGAGAATGCAATCCCCGCAAAATCCGATAGGAACATTTGACTAAAACATTAGAGCCCCGACAATATTGAGAATGTGTCTATGTTTTCTTTCGACAACCCCATTTTGTTGTGGTGTATAAGGGATTGTTGTTTCATGGAGGATACCTTTAGAAGAAAAAAAGGTTTGGCAATCATTTTGAAGGAATTCGAGCCTCTGTCGGTTCGATACGTTTAATATGATGATTAAATTGTGTTTGAATAAGGGTATAGAAGTTTTGTAGTAAAGAGAGTGCTTGAGACTTAGTTTTCATAAGAAATGTCCAAGTCTCTCTAGAAAAATCCTTAACAATGGACAAAAAATATTTATCTTGATTACATGTAGGATGCTTGTATGGTCCCCGGATATCAACATGAATGAGTTCAAACAGAGAGTGTGTGGTAGATGTACTACATGGAAATGTCGGTCTTGTTTGTTTTACAAGAGGGCAAATATCACATAATAACTCGAATGTGAAGAAGGTATTGATAAACCGGAAATCAAATGCAATCTAGAAAGTGATATATGTCCAAGACGTTTATGCCAAAGTATTACATCATCCGATTGACAAGTCGTATTATGCTTAGCTTTATTACAAAGAAGGTTACCGTGTCCGTAAGAAATTGAACTTGGAATAGCAACGAAGTAGTAGGTTGAAAAATATTTGAAGTTAAAGGTGTGACGGACTTGAATGTGTTTAATTGGACATAGTATAGGCCGTCTCTAATATTACCAATCCCCTTTCTCTTCTCACTCTTGAGGTCCCGAAATAGACAAAATTATGGATAAAAGGATGCTATATAGTTATTGTCGGTAATGAACTTAGCTACCGACAATAAATTGAACTTAAATTCGGGTAAGTATAGGACATCCCGAAGGTGTACATTAGAAGTAAGAGATATTGAACCTATGTGAGTGACTTGTATTTTATTGCCATTAGGTAATCTAATAATGTAATAGGATGCTAATTTCTTAGGATTATCCAAGAATCAAAATGTCTAGTCATGTGAACATTAGCTCCGGTATCCACCACCCATTCATCATTATGAGAAACAATATCCACAAGGCTATAAAAGAACTCACCGACCATGCTTGCAGCAGAATCAACCCCCGAAGTCATCCTTCCCGAATTAGCCTTTCCGGATAATAAATTCATTATTCTATCGAGTATCGTTGCTTGAGAAAATGCAGAAGGTGAAGAAAGCTTGCTTATACCGGTCCTCTCATTCGGCTCCGTATTTTCAACTAGTTTTGTGTCCGATTTTGATTTGCCATTATCATGTCCTTCAAAACTCGTATTGTGTGCATGATAAGCTCGTTGTCTATCTCCTCTAGAAGTAATATTTGCCTCTCTTCTTCCTCCGAAACTCCCGGAGAAATTCTTGGTTGGATGTGGATACCCATGGAGCTTATAACAAGTCTCTTTAGCATGCCCTAAACCATGGCAATAATCACAAACAACCTCTTTTCGCCAGTTTCTTCTATCAATGAATTGCCTACCTTGATATGTATTTCTACTTGAATAAAATGCGGTAGACACCTCTTGGTGTGAAGTAAGTCCCCTATGCGATTCTTCATTCGAAACCATAGAATAAGCCTATGAATGAATAGGCGGGGGTTCATCAACAAAATTTGAGACCTCACGACTTGATATTGATCATTTAAACCCATGAGAAACCGCATCACCTTATATTGTTGTGCATATTCAACAAAAGGTTGAGCGACTTCATTTCGACGAGTTTGGACAAACATAAGTCAATGTAGGTATTAGGGAATCATATTGATCCCATATATGCTTTAGCTTTGAATAATAAACTCGCTACCATTCGTTATTGTCTTGAACTAGTGAATCGATCTCTTTGTGTAGAGCAAAGATCTTAGCTCCATGCTCGCTTATCAAATCTTTATTTCAAGTCTTTCCGGACTTCTTCGACGATTGATGGTAAACTAACCCATTGAATAGTGGAGCGGATATCGAATTTAATAACCAAGCATGAACTAAAGCATTACATTTCTTCCATTGTCCATAATCGGGTGAGTCGATACCTGGTTTGAAGCATTTACTAGTCACAAATCCATCCTTACTCTTAGCCTCCGGAGATATCATCATCGCCTTGCTCTAGGAGCTATAATCATCTTCACCTCGAAGTAAATGTATGACGAGAGTTAGATTAGGTGTATTTTACGGATGAAGGAACAATAGGTCATTTACATCTCGAATTGTTAACACGAGCCTTACGGAATCAAAAGCGATAGTTGGATTTGCCATGAACACAAGCTGCTAACAATAATGTCTCGGAGAAGAATGCTATAGAAGAATCACGATTTGAATGTTAGGAGCTTCCTTAAGAAGAAAAAAGGAGAAGATAAAACCCTAACTCGATACCATGTTGAATAAAGAGAATTTGGGTGAAATTCATATTCACTCTTATGTTTGTTACGAGTGCATTATTCTTTTTATAACATACTCAACGAGACTTAGCTACATTCCTCTATACCTCATGTACATAATCGTATGTTATATCTATATATGTATAGCTATGGAAATTATAAATTTACCCTTCTTAATACTTCTCATAGCCGAAGTCACTGGAGTTTTTGACACGGCACAAGGGTAAGTAGCTAGCTAGTCATCTCACTATGCAATATACTTGGCTAGCTACTTATGTTGTAGTTATTGAAATTGAACAATGCATTTCAACTTTTGATTTTGTTACATTTGAATGTACGTGGGTACCTACATGCACTCGGTATTTGGACCAAAGAGCAAGTGGAGGCATGGGAACCCATTGTCGATGCTTGTCTATGCTAAAGGTCGTATCTTCTTCCGTCAAATATGGCATGTTGGAAGGGTTTCAAATAGTGGTGAGTCCTTGGCTTTAATTTCCTCCGTGCCTTCCCTTATTTACTCAAGAAAGATGCTAGATTGCTTTGAGATCAAAAGAAATTCCCTCTATAAATGTGAAGGTCGATATGAATCCTATTTGATCTTCCTACGGCATTAGGTTGTCCGGGTTTTTAGCCAAATGGGCAAGCTCTAGTCTCTTCTATAGACAAAGCCAATATCTCGCTCGGAGTTGACCGCATGGAATTCATACCTCCAAGGCGCTTAAAGAAAGATGAAATTCCCTAAATTGTTGATGATTTCGGAACTGCTGCAAGGAACGTAATAGAAGGCTGGCAATTTTCCATCTCAACTATTTAGGAAACTTAAAATTTTCCTTCGGGATTTTAGCAAGGTGAATGTTAGATGATTGGATAAACATTTTGGAAAGTTCAATTTGAGCGCATCAAAATGAAGATTATGATGTTATTTTTTCTTGAAATAGAAATGAAGTTAGAAAATTTGCAAATTTAGTTTCTTTAATTTATTCAAAACTAAGATGCTTTATCCCTACTAGAAAATAAAATCCAATAATATAATATAACAATTTACTTTGCAAATTAGAGGTTCTTAACAAGAAAATTTAGTTCCATGCCTTGAGTATTTTTTTTTTTTTTGTTATTTGTAGGTGGTGATGGAGTTGAAGTTCATGAAGCTCATGGATACCTAATTGACCAGTTTATGAAAGATCAAGTGAACGATAGAACATACCAATATGGTGGATCTCTAGAGAACCGTTGCCGATTCCCTTTGGAAATAGTTGAGGCTATAGTGGATGAGATTGGAGCGAGATAAAGTTGGAATAAGACTATCTCCTCATCTAGACTTTATGGAATCAGGGGACTCCAATCTAGAAGCCTTAGGGGTTTACATGGCTAAATCCTTGAATAAATATGGTATTGCTTATGAAAGTACCATCTTATTTAAAAGCTTAAGCTATTAAGTAAGACCCAAGATATGATTTATATTATTTTCTAACACACCCTCTCAAGTGAAAGCCCTTTGGGCTTGAAACTTGCATAGGCCCACACTACCTTGTGCTTAATTAATTAGAAGAAAAAGTGGGGGTGATAGGATTCGAACTCGTGATAGTTTGGTCATCAAGGCTCGATACCATATCACGGGATCATCTCATCCAAAAACTTAAGTCTGTTAGATAATGCCCCAAGATATGATTTATATTATCCTTTAACATTGCTTACTCGTCACATGGTTGAGCCAAGAATGAAGTCAGAAGCAGAAAAAACTGAATCCTCGGGAAGTCTACTACCCATGAGAAGGGCATTTGATGGTACTTTCATTGTCGCTGGTGGTTATGGCAGAGAAGAAGGAAACCAAGCTGTAGAAGAGAACCGTGCAGACCTTGTTGCTTATGGTCGCTTGTTCTTGGCTAATCCAGATTTGCCTAGGAGGTTTGAGGTTGATGCTCCTCTCAATAGACCAAACAGAGAAATATTCTACACACATGATCCTGTTGTTGGTTACACAGATTACCCATTTCTTGAAGACACTGCTTAAGGTTCTGCCTCAAAAGAATTTGAACTTGTAGAGTTAATAACCAATTCTACTGTTTTATTGTATTCAGTTATTTGTTCTTCTGTGAGTTTCATTGATTTGCGTAACCAGTCAGAGCTGTATGATTCTCTAATAAAAGCAAAGATAAGACCATGCTAGTTGGTCTATTCCAATCCTGCAGGTTGGGATTTAAGAAGATGAAGAACCAGTGACCTATCATGAGCAGCCTTAGCAAAGCCAGTCTCTGCAGCAGTTTCCTTCCTGAAATGTATGTCGAGTGCTTAATGACTTCCGTTGTCTTGAAAGCAACTGACAAATACCATAAAAAAATAGATAGAACTAATGGATTTGAACCATGCGTATTGTGCATCTCGATATCATAAGCTCATTTTTTGTTATGATTAATTACATTGCACTTTTTACATCATATTAGTATTAGGTAATTAATGATTTTCGTTTATATACAGATGAAGGGTTGTTGTTAAATATAAGACATCAATTTCTTCAAACTTTATAGATTACATGGTTTTTTTTTTAATTATTATTATTATTATTATTATTAAGGGATGGAGAGAGTGTTAGAAAGCACTAAATACCCCACTCCTTTTCCAAAACAAGAGAAAAAAATAAAAAAAGAATGTGTTGGATTTGTATTTGGACTAGCTGAAATAAATGTTTGTTTTTAATAAAAAGGAATTCCATGACCAAATTAAGAAAAAAATACAGACACAGACAATTTTTTTTTTATGATGAAAATAATTTAGTAATATTTATAGGAATCTCTAAAAACATTTGAGGCCATTACAGGTTTATTTATTTATTTATTTTATATTTTTAGTTTTAGTAAAAAAAAAAAATTGATCTTAAAAAATTCTAGGATTTTTTTTCTCAGAAAATGGATTGAATTTTTTTTTTTCAATTAGTGTGAAAAAAGTTGACACAAAATATCAAGAATTGAATTTTTTAAAGAGAGATGTGGTAGTTGAAAATTATAAAATGAATTCAATATAAAAAAATTCAAATTCAAAGGAAATCAAACTCTAAATTAAAAATTTTAAAACTAATTTTTAAATAAATTAAAGTTTAAAGGAGTTTTGCCTATTTAACCAAAAAGAATTCACAAACAGACAATCTTTACGATGGAGGTGGGCTGGCTAATAATTATAGGGAAATACAAAAAGCCATGAGGCCCAATCGGAGTGGCAAAACACCCAAACGTAAGCGAAGGAATATCGTATTAGGACAAGAACCTCATGTGATGCTCAGGTCACTGTTGCAAACCCTACTTCTAACTACTTAAAACCCCGCTTGCTTGCTTACTTCCTTCCCGGAGCCGTACCCTTTCCTTCCCTCACTTGCTGTCTCTCCATCTCCTCAATAGCGGGACTTTACTCTGAAAAGGTAACCTACATTCTCCATTGCTGAAATCGAACTTAATCTCTGCTTCTTTTATTTATTTTATGTTTGTAGTTAGTAATGTTAGTTCTTAATTTTTGCTTGTGTTGTTTCTTATTCTCAGCTCTGTATTGCTAATTTGATCTTTTTTGGAGCAAGTGAACAATCCTCTGTTTAGCCATGGCTCTGGTAAGTGCTTAACATCATTACTTTCTGAGTTTTTTTTTTGTTTTTAGTTTAGTTTAGTGTTTACATCTGTTTGTGCTGTTTTAGGTTGGTTTGCTTTGAAATTTGAGGAAAAACAGCAAATAATAGAAAAAAAAGGGAAAAATTGGTGAAAATCTGTTTGTGCTGTTTTAGGTTGGTTTGCTTTGAATTTATTTTTGTTTATTTCATGGTGTAGTATAGGTGATGGTGAATTTGATGACCCGTAATTTAGTCAGTCTGTTATAATGATTAATTACATGTCCAATTGAAGCTAGGATGTTTATGGTTAGCGTGTGTCTACATGAATTAAGGGTGTGGAAATTGGTGAAAATGAAACGTTTCTCTCTTTTTCATTGCACCAGATGTAGAAACTAGATGGATATTTTTTTTTTGTTTTTTTCCTTTGAAAGGTTCTTGAGATCAAAATGTTGAAATGCAGATGACCAATTTGCAGTTGATTTCTGGATTGGTTGTTCTTTTTTAAATCTAGATGTAGAAATGGACCTTTTTATGGCCCTTTTTTTTTAAAAAAAAAAAAAAAAAAATTTTTTTTTGGAATTTTAGTTTCTCACCTACATTTTTACAGTAGGTCTGGATGTTTGAGGGGGCTTTGTCCCAGTTTACTTGCCTATTCATGCGTGCATATGACTAGTGTCTTTCCTTTGTTGATTTATAAGTGCTAAGTTGGAAAAGCAAAGTGATTTTTGCCCTGATGTATTGAAGTTTTAGCCTTTGTGTTTAGAAGGGGGCATAATCCCATATTCCATTACACAGCCTTCTAGCTGACAACAATATACTATTGTTTTTGTCTTGGACTGTAGCAATGATGTGTTTCTCATGGTAAACTAGTTGGTGGCACTATAATTTATTTGACCAAAGCACAAGAAACGGTTTGAGGTGTTTGAAATTGCCAGTTTCTTAAAAATTCTATGACATACTATTTCTGAATCTAACACATTAGTTTTTATGTACTTCAAGGTAACACATTAGCAATGATGTGTTTCTCATGGTAAACTAGTTGATGGCACTATAATTTATTTGACCAAAGCACAAGAAACGGTTTGAGGTGTTTGAACTTGCCAGTTTCTTAAAAATTCTGACATACTATTTCTGAATCTAACACATTAGTTTTTATGTACTTCAAGGTATTACATGCAGGTAGCACAAACAAAAATGCTTTGAAGACACTTATTGCTGCAGAGTATAGTGGCATCCAAGTTGAGCTGGTAAAGAATTTTGAGATGGGTGTGTCAAATAAGGCACCAGAATTTCTCAAGATGAACCCCATTGGAAAGGTTGTGTACTATCAAGAGTTATTTTAAGATGCTTCAAGATTGTTTTGTTTAGTTTGACTAATAAGGTCGTTCTGCCTGTAGGTTCCTGTGTTGGAAACACCAGATGGTCCCATATTTGAGAGTAATGCTATTGCACGTTACGGTGAGGGCTATTATAATATTAAATGTTCTCCTTTTTATTTACTGCAGCAGTATGATTTCTTCTCAATTGTCAGCTATTTCTTGGTACAGTTACTCGCTTGAAGGCTGATAATCCCCTCTATGGCTCCTCATTAATTGAATATGTAAGTGATGTTAGGTTACGTGATGTTCATGCTTGAGTAATGTTTGGCATGTTTTCCTTCCAATAGACCCCTATTTTTATTCTGTTCCCCAAAATTGTCGGTAAACTGGGCTTTGGCAGGCCCGCATTGAGCAATGGATTGATTTTGCAACATTGGAAATTGATGCCAATATTCTGCGCTGGTTCATACCAAGAATTGGTTTTGCTGTATACCTACCTCCGGTTAGCCTGTTTCTTCTTTTCTGTGGAATAGAGTTGAATATCTTTATCCAGAATACATCTATAAATACTGGCGACAATTGATTATAATGTACTTTTAATCTACCAAAGGCTGAGGAAGCTGCAATTGCTGCATTGAAGAGAGCATTAACTGCTTTGAACACCCATCTTTCCTCCAGCACTTACCTGGTTGGAGATTCTGTGACATTGGCTGATATCATTTTGACCTGTAACTTGACTTTGGGATTTAGCCGTCTTTTGACTAAGAGCTTCACTTCAGAATTTCCCCATGTTGAGAGATACTTCTGGACTATTGTAAATCAGCCAAATTTCCACAAGATTTTGGGTGAAGTGAAACAGACAGAATCTGTTCCTCCTCTGCAAAAGCCTTCACAACCAAAGGGACCTGCAAAATCTAAGGAACCTACAGAACCCAAGGTTAAAGAGGAGCCAAAGAAAGAAACCAAGAAAGAACCAGCAAAACCTAAAGTAGAAGAGGCTGGTGGAGAGGAACAGGCACCCAAGCCTAAGCCTAAGAATCCTCTTGATCTTTTACCTCCTAGTAAGATGATCCTTGATGAATGGAAGAGGCTTTATTCTAACACAAAGACCAACTTCCGTGACGTTGCCATTAAAGGTAACTATGCAGATTTTTTTTTTTTTTTTACATAATATAGATTTCATTAATATCTAGCACTATTCTCGGCCCTTAAAAGCCTTGCCTGTATTTGTGTTTTGTTAGAAGTTAAATTATTTGATGATAGCAGATATGCAGTTTGCATTATGATTCTCTCCTGTGATAAATGAGAAAATAAGTCTGTTAATGCTGCATGCACGATAGACTTGCCTAAGATCCTTTTGTTACTACTAGCTCATGCTTTCATTTTGTTTTCCCCAGTAAATAAGATACCAATTTAGGGGGGTTTGTTTCCCAAGAGAATTCAATCTGGCTTTCTTTTGAGCACGTTCCAATGCATTGGTTGGTGTTCTCCTGATTTTATTTTTTTAGACTAGGTTGGTTCCTCATGGTTAAGGAATGACAAAAGCCCTTAAAATCCCTTTGTTGGTTTTATAATTCTCAGTGAAGAAAAACTTCCATTGTTGATTGATTGCACCTGCCTGTACGCAAGTGTGAGAGAGAGATTGCTGTGCTTGGCGTTCACTTAGATTATGTGTGAGAGATTGCATTTTTCTGGTGTTTGCTTAGCAAGGTCCTCCATATTCTTTGCAATTCACTTTTAAATGTGTTCCTGAGGCCTAGTTGGATATCTAATGATTTTGGTTGGAAACTGAATTTATTTAGTGGAATTGCTTAGAAGTAATTATGATTGGGCATATAGTAATTGGAGTTATATGACTCTTTTATTGCAAAAGCAAACAAAGAGACTATTTTTGTCTTTCAAAATAGGAAATTCAGGTTGCATGGTGAACTTTCCAAGGATTACATTTGGTTTTCATTTCTGTTTGCAGGATTTTGGGAAATGTATGATCCTGAGGGCTATTCTCTTTGGTTTTGTGATTACAAGTACAATGATGAGAATACAGTATCATTTGTTACATTGAACAAGGTGGGTGGTTTCCTTCAGCGAATGGACTTGGCTCGTAAGTATGCTTTTGGGAAGATGCTGGTGATTGGCTCAGGACCTCCTTTCAAGGTGAAGGGGTTGTGGCTTTTCCGTGGACAAGAGGTTCCCCAGTTTGTGATTGATGAGTGCTATGACATGGAGCTATATGAGTGGAAAAAGGTTGACATCACAGATGAGGAGCAGAAGGAGCGAGTCAGTCAGATGATTGAAGACCACGAGCCCTTTGAGGGGGAGCCCCTATTGGATGCCAAATGCTTCAAGTGATTAGGTTTTACCTCTTCTATTAGTTACAAAACTTAGGGTTCTCCAAAAGTTTTCCTATTTAAATTTTCTAAATTTTTCTGTCATTGGTCTTCCCTTTTCGTTTGCAGTGGTCTTTTCGTACCACCAACACCAATAGTTGCTTGTGATGTAAGGCTTCGGAATTGTTTGGATCTTGCACTTGAATTAATTTATAGTACATCAACTAGTTGGTTGTTTGCATTATGCTGTGGAAGGAGTAAAGCCACATTTGATGGCAAATTGAGTTTTTCTTAGCGTTGGAAGCGGCGAAGCATTTTATACAGTAATATAATAAAATTTGTGTTTGATGATTCTTTGCTTGCGTTAACAGCGGAAGAAAATATTTTTTCAACCGTTATTATTTATATTTTTTTAACAGTTATTATTTATATGTTTTATTTTCCATCCATGGATATTTGTTCATGGTGTAAAGAAAGGTGAAATGTTTATTAAAAACAAACATATGAAAAAAATTGTATTCTTTTTTCATTAAAAAAATTATTATTTAATATTGATGAGAAGATTATTTTTTACAAGTATATATATTTGGTTTATATGTATTTGTTCATAAAATAATTAATTATTTTTTACAAGTATGTATAATTAATTTATATATATTTATTCACAAAATAATTAATTATATTAGCATAAAAAAATGTTTGAATTGGTAGTTTTTTTTTTAAAAAACATAACTGTAATTATTTTATTTGAAAGAAATTGATTTTAAAATATCTAGAATAAATAGTAAATGATCAATACTGTATAGATGCATAATTAAACTCTGATGAAAATAACAAGCCAATAATTTTTTATAATTTTTTTTTATATGAATCATAACTATACTAAATCGTTTTAGAATATACAACACAAAACGAAGATTTTTTTTTAAAAAAATTTTACTTTTAAAGAATATATTGAATAAATTCAAAATTAATAGATTTATATAAAACTATATAAAAATAATAATAATTTTGATAAATTTTAATTTCACTTGCAAGAAGTATATTGAATAAATTTAAAGTTAACAGACTTAAATAAAAATTATAACAAAATTAATTTCAATAAAGTTTATTATTAAAAAAAAGAAAAAAGAAAAAGAACAACTAAAAAACGTGAATTCAATATTTTATTTTTCTTCTTAAATCCTTTTCTTGTGCCAGGCCATACATGGCTAGTCTTCTTGTACAGGCCTCACTCGTAGATCATTTTTTTTTTTTTTTTTTTTTTTTGCATTTGGCTTTTAATTGTCTGATATATATATATATATATATATATATATGCTAGTCTCACTTAAAAGTCATAAAAATTCATCATATAAATCATATTAATTTATTTAAAAAAAGAAAATAATCTTGTTTTAAAATTTTATTAAAAAATCTATACATAGGGAAAAATAAATCATATTTTTTAGAAAATAAAATTTTATATATAAAAAAAGTTGATTGGATGAATTTCAATAAACAAAAAATGACAAATTGAAGGAATAAATTTTAAATAATAAGAGTAATATATGTTCATTTTAAAATATAAAAACATATCATTTTTTTGCCAAGTTGTGTGAAAACCCAAAAAATAACAATCGATCATCCATAATTTTTTCAATAAAATAAAATAAAAAATCAATAATTTAAAAAAATTAAAATAAATTACTAGGAATAATAATAATAATAATAATAAAACAAGCTAGAGCATGCAAAAGACACCATTCTAGCTTTATTTTTATACTCAAACATTTTCAAATCATATATATATATAGAGAGAGAGAGAGAGGCTTAAAATTCATTTTAATGCATACAATAGAAATAGAAATCAAAATCAAACTCAAAAACTCAAAATGTTTTAGAGTCTCGATCTACCTTCTCCAATAATTTCATAGTTTGTGATCACCGAAACAAACCCTCCTTCCCAAAATGAACAAATTGAAGGTAAGATCAATGATTAAAGTGGCCAAAATAGGTCTTGCCTCGTTTTTCTCTCCCATCCCTTCTGGCCTTCTTTTCTCTCTCCTTTTTATAATTAGGAACCAAACCGCAATAGAAATAAAACTCAAAATTGAAATAAAAATGTCTCGAAAAAGTTAGGTGTCAAAGTGTAACATTCACAAAAACTTGCATATTAAATGCTTGAAGATACATTGAAAATAAGACTAATGCCATAACAAATTACATTTCAAATGCTTAAGATAGCTTGAAAATAACTAAAATGCCATAACATAGTAAAAGGAATGTTGCAATTGAGTCATAGTCTACAATGCACCGAGTGTGCATGAACAATATTGTGAAAAATATTCTACCGTGTATATTTCTTCGTTTAGATTATATATAAATAGAAATACAAAGGTAAATATACTAGGAAAGAATTCTATACAAATCAAATCTCCTCATTTCTCTCCGAAATCCTCCTAATTAGCGACCACTTTGATATGACTCGCATCGATTTCTCCTTCTCAAGCACTCCCCTAAAGCTAGCTTGTAAATGTCTTCCATAGCTAGCTTACTTACTAAGAAATCAAACTATTTCTTCGTAGTCCAATAATGAGCATATCGGTTGTCCGTTCAATGGTTGGTATGTAAGGAATACGATTAAGCCACTTTCAAGTTCCTCTTTAATAAAATGTCTATCCATTTCGATATGCTTGGTTCTGTCATGTTGAACAAGGTTATGTGCAATTGAAATGGAAGCCTTGTTGTCGAATAGACTTTCATAGGAAGTGACAAAGGAATCTTTAGATCTTTTAATAACTTATTGATCCATATTACTTCACAAATCCCATGTGCAAGAGACTTAAACTCGGCGTTGGCACTACTTTGAACTACTACATTATGTTTCTTACTCTGCAAGCTAACTAGATTTCCCCTAACAAAAGTATAATATCCGGATGTTGATCTTTTATCGAAATGCTACCCGCCCAATCAACATCTATATAGATTTTAACTCGTAGATTATCACTTTTTTTTTTAACATCAAGCCTCTTTTAGGTGTCCCCTTCGGATATCTTAGTATTCGTAGGTAGATTTAAAGTGCTTTTGACCTCGTGAATGCATAAATTGACTTATCATGCTTACGAGCAAAGGCCATGTCGGGATGAATGTGTGATAGATATATCGGTCTTCCCACCGGTAGATGAAATTTTTCCCTATCAATCACATCTTCATCCTTAGTGGGACCGAGTTTCGAGTTAGCCTCAATTAGAGTTTCGGGTACCTTACATCCCAATAGCTCGGTTTCTCCAAGTAAATCAAAGATATACTTCCTCCGATTCATAAATATTCCTTCTTTTGATCTTGCAAATTCCATTCCAAGAAAATATTTCATTACTCTTAGGTCTTTAATTTCAAACTCCTCTATTAGCTTCCTTTTTAATCTTGCAAGTTCTTTATAGTCATCACCTGCTAAGATTATATCATCCACATAGACAATTAGAATTGAAAATTTTCCCATCTTAGAATGCTTATAAAATAGAGTGTGATATGCTTAACTCTAGTGAAACCCATAGCTTTTTAATGCCTTCTCAAACCTTCCAAACCATGCCCTTAGAGATTGTTTCGAGTCATATAAAGACTTCTTACGCCTACACAATCTATTTTGGCCAACAATTTTTTCAAAACTTGGTGGTGGACACATAAACACTTCTTATTTCAAATCACCATTCAGAAATGCATTCTTCACATCTAGTTGATATACTCGTCCAGTTGAAATTAACCGCAAAAGACAAGTACAACTCGAATATAGTTAATTTTAGCTACCGGAGCAAAAGTCTCTTGGTAATCAATACCATAGGTTTAAGTAAACCCCTTAGCAACAAGTCCGTTTTGTATCTTTTTACACTTCCATCAGCCTTGCACTTCATCATAAACACCCATTTACAACTAATTATTCTTTGGTTTTTGGGCAATCTACAACTTCCCATGTCCCATTTTTCACTAGAGCACGCATCTCCTCCATTACTCGTTGATTTCTATTTTGGATCATCAAATGCTTCTCGAATGTTTCTTGGAATAAATATATTAGAGATTTTTGATGTAAATGCCCTATGACTCTAAGATAGTTTATCATATGAGAGATATTTTGCAATAGGATGGATAGTAAAAGACTAGGTACCTTTTCTAAGTGCTAGGGGAATGTTAAGATCATAGCAAGTATCAAGAATAAGAACAATATTGGATAGTAGAGGGCTTAGAGTGCCTTACATGTCTATAGGCTCATTACTCGAGATGTCCGATTGATTTTGTGCCTTAGGAACAATACACTCTCTGCCATTTTGATGATTCTTTCTCCTTTTGTAAACTCTAAACTCGGGTTCTTGTCCTTTAGGATCATCTAGTAGTATTTCTCCTCCTATCGAATTTTTAACATTTTTTGGCTCTATAACATTTTGGCTCTATAATATTAGGGACATCCAGTTTATAGAGATTTTCAAGGGAATTTACGATTTTAGGCAAGAGAGTGGGATTAAATTCTTAGAAAATTTCTTCACTTTGTTTCTCCTCCTAAAGAAAATTTACCTAAAAAAAGGTTGATGTTCAAGGAAGGAGTCATTCATAGTGACAATGATTTTTTAGGTGCTAGGATTAAAACACTTAACCATTGTTTGTTTGGGGCATAGCCTATAAAGACACATTTTTCTACCTTAAGATCTAGTTTCGCCCCCTAGTAGGTAAATGGACATAAGCGAGTGCACCTAAAAACTCTTAGTGGTAAATCGGAATAAATTCGAGTTTCGGGAATTTTTTTAAAAGTAATCAAGGGGTGTACTATAGTTAAGAACCCGAGTAAGCATCTTATTTATCAAATAGGATGCTATTAAAACAACTTCCCCCTCCCTAGAGAAATTTAGTAACATTTTTAGAAAACATAATGGCACGAGGCACTCCAAGCAAAAGTTTGTTTTTCCTTTTAGCAATCCCATTTTCCCGAGGAGTATCAATACAAGTAGATTGATGTTGAATGTCCTTGTATTTTAAAAAATGACTAAGAATCTC